TATATTACCTGTCAGCTGTGTATATTACCTGTCAGCTGTGTATATAACCTGTCGGCTGTATATATTACCTGTCAGCTGTATATATAACCTGTCGGCTGTGTATATTACCTGTCGGCTGTATATATTACCTGTCTGTTGTGTACATAACTTGTCGGCTGTATATATTACCTGTCAGTTGTGTATATAACCTGTCGGCTGTATATATTACCTGTCAGCTGTGTATATTATCTGTTGGCTGTATATATTACCTGTCAGCTGTGTATATTACCTGTCTGTTGTATATATTACCTGTCAGCTGTGTATATTACCTGTCAGCTGTGTATATAACCTGTCAGCTGTATATATTACCTGTCAGCTGTGTATATTACCTGTCAGACATGGATATTACCTGTCAGCTGTGTATATTACCTGTCTGTTGTGTACATAACTTGTCGGCTGTATATATTATGTGTCAGCTGTTTATTTTACCAGTCAGCTGTGTCTAATATTAACTTTCGTCAGTGTATATTACCTGTCGACTGTGTATATTACCTGTCCACTGTGTATATTACCTGTCAGCTGTGTATATAACCTGTCGGCTGTATATATTACCTGTCCACTGTGTATATTACCTGTCGGCTGTTTATTTTACCAGTCAGCTGTGTATATTATTACCTGTCGTCTGTGTATATTACCTGTCGACTGTGTTATTACCTGTCTGTTGTGTCGGCTGTATATATTACCTGTTGGCTGTATATATTACCTGTCGGCTGTATATATTACGTGTCAGCTGTATATATTACCTGTCAGCTGTGTATATTACCTGTCTGTTGTGTACATAACTTGTCGGCTGTATACATTACCTGTCGACTGTGTTTATTACCTGTCTGTTGTGTACATAACTTGTCGGCTGTATATATTACCTGTCATTCTTGACACAGGGAAGAAGATCGGGCTCAGCAACATCAGGACTCCACAAACTGCCACAATAAAGCCAGTCTCTTTCATCGCGGTCTAAAGTTTAGGAATATGAAGAAAAGTTTTGAAACAAAATATAAGTAAGATTGATATTTAGTTAGAACTTCCAATATTAATTCAAGAAAGAAAAAGGAAAATAAAACCCAAAATAAACACATTATCTCTCCCTGCATTCTAACACTACAGGTTTTGTATACTAGGAAATTTTTACCCAGACAAACTTCTGCCCTTCACCCTTGAAACCAATTTTCACCCAGCGTTAATTTTGTCCTTCACAGAGTTACTATGTTTATTATTTTGTTTACCTATATTTGCTGTAATGATAAATTTGCTCTCATTACCGAGGGGAGAAAAAGGTGAAAAATTACACAGCAGGACTGGGCGTACAGTAGTACACACTTACCCTTACTTTAGGACTGGGCGTACAGTAGTACACACTTACCTCAGGACTGGGCGTACAGTAGTACACATTTACCTCAGGACTGGGTGTACAGTAGTACACACTTACCTCAGGACTGGGTGTACAGTAGTACACACTTACTCTTACTTTAGGACTGGGCGTACAGTAGTACACACTTACCTCAGGACTGGGAGTACAGTAGTACACACTTACCTCAGGACTGGGCGTACAGTAGTACACACTTACCTTTGGACTGGGCGTACAGTAGTACACACTTACCTCAGGACTGGGCGTACAGTAGTACACACTTACCTTAGGACTGGGTGTACAGTAGTACACACTTACCTCAGGACTGGGTGTACAGTAGTACACACTTACCCCAGGACTGGGCGTACAGTAGTACACACTTACCTCAGTACTGGGCGTACAGTAGTACACACTTACCTCAGGCCTGGGCGTACAGTAGTACACACTTACCTTTGGACTGGGCGTACAGTAGTACACACTTACCCCAGGACTTGGCGTACAGTAGTACACACTTACCTCAGGACTGGGCGCACAGTAGTACACACTTACCTCAGGACTGGGCGTACAATAGTACACATTTACCTCAGGACTGGGTGTACAGTAGTACACACTTACTCTTACTTTAGGACTGGGCGTACAGTAGTACACTCTTACCTCAGGACTGGGCGTACAGTAGTACACATTTACCTCAGGACTGGGTGTACAGTAGTACACACTTACCCCAGGACTGGGCGTACCGTAGTACACACTTACCTCAGGACTGGGCGTACAATAGTACACATTTACCTCAGGACTGGGTGTACAGTAGTACACACTTACCTCAGGACTGGGTGTACAGTAGTACACACTTACCCCAGGACTGGGCGTACAGTAGTACACACTTACCTTAGGACTGGGTGTACAGTAGTACACACTTACCTCAGGACTGGGTGTACAGTAGTACACACTTACCCCAGGACTGGGCGTACAGTAGTACACACTTACCTTTGGACTGGGCGTACAGTAGTACACACTTACCTCAGTACTGGGCGTACAGTAGTACACACTTACCTCAGGCCTGGGCGTACAGTAGTACACACTTACCTTTGGACTGGGAGTACAGTAGTACACACTTACCTCAGGACTGGGCGCACAGTAGTACACACTTACCTCAGGACTGGGCGTCCAGTAGTATACCCTTACTCTTACTTTAGGACTGGGCGTACAGTAGTACACTCTTACCTCAGGACTGGGCGTACAGTAGTACACATTTACCTCAGGACTGGGTGTACAGTAGTACACACTTACTCTTACTTTAGAACTGGGCGTACAGTAGTACACACTTACCTCAGGCCTGGGCGTACAGTAGTACACACTTACCTTTGGACTGGGCGTACAGTAGTACACACTTACCCCAGGACTGGGCGAACAGTAGTACACACTTCCTCAGGACTGGGCGTACAGTAGTACACACTTACCTCAGTACTGGGCGTACAGTAGTACACACTTACCCCAGGACTGGGCGTACAGTAGTACACACTTCCTAAGGACTGGGCGTACAGTAGTACACACTTACCTCAGGACTGGGCGTCGGCTTGTCAATCTGATGATTATTGAGCTAGAACAAATAACAGAAATCAAATAAATGTGTATTCCACATTCACATTTTCCTCATATAGGGTACGATATGTATAGCGTTTTGATTTTGTGAGTCAAACTTCATGTCCTAAAAACAAATTATGTGAATCTTGTAGATCTTGGTCAGGGCTAACTTTTCTCCATGACATGTTATCAGAGAATATGTCAAGTTAAAAGCCTCGCTTTGGGGTCAAATATAGGTCAACAATGAAAATCTCAAAAATAGTAATTTTGTTATCATTACTGAAAGAGCCGATCTTAGGATGATATGTTAAAAGTTTCAAGGTCATAGCACCAAAAATGATGAAGATATGACACTTTGAAAAAATTTCATTTTCCCGCCAAAATTCAATTTTTCAAAAAAATACACTTAAATCTCTTCTCCTCCGTATTCTTAAGGCCTAGAGAGTTGATATTCGGCACATATTTATCGGATATCGTTGACCTTGACCTTCATTCAAGGTCACAGGGGTCAAATGACCAAAAAACTTATATTTTCAAATTCTTTAAAAAAAAAAATTATCCTACATTTTTGAGAGTGCATTCTTTTGAGGATATTTTTAAAGTTTTAAGGTCAAAGCATCATAGTGCACATAAATAGATAAAAGGACAGATGATTTCTTAAAGAATGGTCAAAATATTTTCATCAAACTGTACAAAGGGAAATAACTCAAACAGACAAATCAACCTCTTTGACCACTTTGTCTACAATATTATGCGACATTGTCAGTCCTTGACTTAGGTGTTGCTAGGTCCAAATAACAGAGCTGTCAATAACCATTGCCTGTGTAACCATCATCGTACCTACTGTTGTTTGGTGTACCGTGTACAAATAACAGAGCTGACAATCACCATTGCCCCAGGACTATCACTGTGTGTACTGGGGTTTGGTGTCGCTGGGTCCAAATAACAGAGCTGTCAATCACCATTGCCCCAGGACTATCACTGTGTGTACTGAGGTTTGGTGTCGCTGGGTCCAAATAACAGAGCTGACATTCACCATTGCCCCAGGACTATCCCTGTGAGAGCTGACATTCACCATTGCCCCAGGACTATCACTGTGTGTTTGGTGTCGCTGGATCCAAATAACAGAGCTGACATTCACAACTACCTCAAGTAAATAACGTCACTACAAAGGGGAGGGGGGCGGAAAAAAGAAACACTAAACAGCTTTCTATCAATGCTAACTGTTCAGAAATAACTTGACCCTATAGTAAGGTTGGTCAGAGAAGGGAAGCGAAGGGAAGCGAAGGAAAGCGATCGCCAGTCTGAGAACATATCTTTGATCATTTTCCTGTTGGAAATCACGTGTTTTGATGTTGATCAAATCTAGTTCTTATTATTATTATTCTTCCGTACTTTGTGAGGTCTGGATTTTTTGATTGGTAAAAGCAAGGTTAATAAACTTTTAGGTATGTTGTAGGCCAAGGGTTGAAGATGATCAAGCAACATTTTCAAGTAGGTCAAAACTCCAATATGGCCACCATGACGTCATACCTCAAAATCTTAAAATGGCCATAACTCAAAAACGGTTTAATTTACAGAATAGATACAATTGTATTATATGTAGATAGTCTTCAGGGCTAACTTTTATGTCCAGGTGTTTTTTCAAAAAAAGGTCAAATAAAAAAGCTCGCTGTTGGGGTCAAAGGTGACAATTTTTTATTTTTTTTTATTTTTCATTTTGTTTTACAAATTATTTTACAGATCGATGTAGAATGTCATTTCAATAAATTTGATATCATAAGTTTTTCTGTAACATATACCGTTGACCTTTCACGCCATTTTGAAATATTTCCTTTGATCTTTTTAAGATATCGCAATATGTTAAAACTTGTTTTACTCCCATATCGATGACAAATATTTTGTTTAGTTTAAATGGAAAAGGTTTCCCCAGATTTCTTCTAACATTTAGTAACATTTTCAACTACATCGAAAAAACAAATGGCATACAAAAAGAATAGCAAATTAATAATTCTTCTCAGGAAAAAAAATTCTGTCAAACATCAACTTTTTGTTTTCGGCAAGGGTCAAAGTTTGAATGTGTAATTTTGTGAAACAAAACTTCAAAAAACTTCTTCTCAATAACCAAGTGACCCAAGGTCACAATATTTATTGAATATTCTTGCTCAAGCAATGGACTATCAAGTTTGATCATATGAATGACCTTGACCCATGTTCAAGGTCACTGGGGTCAATTATGTTCAAAAGACTCCTTCTCCATAACGGAAATGCACAGGGAATTCATATTTGGTCTGTAGCATGCTAAAATGATGGGCTACAAGGTTTATTGACATAAATAACCATTAAAAATCAACTTCCCGTATTTGATAGAGGTCAAATTCGAACATGTACTTTTACCAGATAGCAATGGACTATCAAGTTTGATCATATAAGTAACTCGTAAATAGCTATCAGGCCAAATCAGTCCTTACAGTGAAAAGCCCGTCAAATTGTTAGCCAACAATTTCTAGTTAATAATTGTAAATACTGATCTATTACAAGTCCTCACTATTTCTTTATAACAAAAAGGACTTGTATCCACTCTAAAAGGATGGTACCCAGGACTTGTAATTATATAACCACTCTAAAAGGATGGTAAC